AGGTCCACTGCAACAACATGTTCGCCAAAGGGGTAAAGATCTTCAAGGAGGTGCAGTGCTACTTCCGCGCTGACACCAGCGAGTGGGAGCCCAGCGCCATCTCCTCCGTGCTGGTGCTGGCCGACGTGAACCCCAGCGCTCGCTTTGTCACCGTGCCCCTGCTGCACCGCATGGCCAGCGCCATCAAGTGCCAGTACTACTTTGCCGACGCCTGGATGATGTTCAGCGAGATCACCTTCCAGTCGGGTACCCGCTGCCATGAGCCCCACAGGGACCAGACCCTCCCGAGGGGGGGTTTCAAGGAGGGAGTGGGGTTGTGGAGCACCCACACCCCCCACCCTGATGCTCTCCTCTCCTCCCTTGCCAGACGCAGCCATGTACAACAACTCAGTGCCCCCCGCCGAGGCGCCAGTGGTGCCCACCACTTATGGTGAGGCATTGAAAAGCATGTCACCCTGAGCTGGGTGGGGAGATGCTCTGGGCGGGCTCTGCCCCATCCGATGGAGCAAAGGGGCGGGGGCTCTCCCCACACCCCAGAGTGACCAGTTCTTGCTGTCCCCTTCTCCTGCCAGACCCCATGCTCAAGGTAGACGACAGCAACACACGCATCCTGATCGGGTGCCTCTTCATCCGGGTGGCCATCATCGTCATCATTCTGTGGCGGCAGTTCTGGCAGAAGATGCTGGAGAAGGTGGGCAAGCATGGGGTGGCTGGCAAGGTGCCCGGGCAGTGGGCTTGTCCCCGGCAGGTTCTCCTGGGAGCTCAGCACAGGGAAAGTAGAGTCTGTGCAGGGGCTGAAGGTCCCCTCCCCTCCTCGGGAAGGTTGTGGTTTGCACCTTTCTCCCAGGCAAGGGGATTTAGCTGAGCAGGGCAGTGACTTTGGGACCTGCCTGCTTGTCCACCCCGAAGCTGAGCCGGGGAAGAGGAGCCTGAGGGGGTCTCACTGCAGCCCCCAACTAACCGAGCGCAGTCACAGAGGTGATGGAGCCAAACTCTTCTCCGTAGAGGCAGACAGTAGAAGTTGGGGACATGAGGGCAAATGTCTTCCCCAGGCGGGTGCTGCAGCCCTGGGACAGGGCACCAGAGAGGGGGGCTTACGGCTACAGTGCCACGGAGTGCAGGAGACCCCATCCTGCCAGCGCTGCAGAGACCCCCATCCCAGCTCTGTCCTCCCTTGTCCCCTCTCACAGGCGTCGCGGAGGATGCTGGATGATGAGATGACCGTCAGCCTCTCCCTGCCCAGCGAATCCAGTATGTTCAACCACAACCGCTCCTCCTCCTCCAGTGAGCAGGAGTCCAGCTCCACCTACGACCGTATATTCCCCCTGGGACCCGACTACCAGGAGCCCTCCCGCCTGATCCGCAAGCTGCCCGAGTTCACCCCGGGCGAGGAGGACACAGGTGAGAGCCGGGACACCCAGAGTGCTTTGAGCCACCCACCACACACTGAGCCCAGCACAGCCCCAGCTTGTGCCAAGCTCCAAACATTTTGGCACAGAGGGGTGGGGGGGATGCTGTATGAGCTCTTGTGCATCCCCCATCATCTTGGCATCTGTGGCCAAAAGCCATCCCTGCTGCCCACTGCAGAGCTGAGCTGTGTCCCCACCACCGTCCTTGGGATGCTCCAGTTTCTCTTCCTCAGTGGTGTGGGGCTTGGGCACTGGTCCTTGCTTGTCTGGTGCTCGGGGTTAGGTTGGTGCATTTGTTGGGAATCTGGGGAGGACGGGGACCTGCTGACTGGAGCATGAGCAGGGGCTGGGCAGGACACCCATGGCAGGGCTGTCCCTGCTGTCCCCTCCAGGCTGCAGTGGCCCTGTGAAGCCATCCCAGGCCAGCATCCCCGAGGGTGTCCCCCACTACGCCGAGGCAGACATCGTGAACCTGCAGGGCGTGACAGGTGGCAACACCTACTCGGTGCCGGCCCTCACCATGGACCTGCTCTCGGGCAAGGATGTGGCTGTCGAGGAGTTCCCCAGGAAGCTGCTGACCTTCAAGGAGAAGCTGGGGGAAGGCCAGTTTGGGGAGGTGAGTGGGAGCAGGGCTCAGGAAAGGCTCTTCCCGGGGACTGGGGGAGGCTGTCAGCTGGCAGAGGTGATGGCTGCCCCCTGCCCCCCTCCAGGTTCACCTCTGTGAGGTGGAGGGGATGGAGAAGTTCACGGGCAAGGACTTTGCCCTGGAGGGCTTGGATGCCAGCTCCAACCACCCCGTGCTGGTGGCTGTGAAGATGCTGCGAGCGGATGCCAACAAGAACGCCAGGTATGGGGCGGGGGGGTGCACTCACGCTGGCATCACTCCCCTCCTCCCAGCCAGAGCCCCCCCAGGAGAGCCAGGACACTTGAAAATGTCCCCTGCCTCTGGCAGCCAGGCGCTCGGTGCACCCACGAGGACCACACGTGTCTGAGCTGTCTGGGGATGCTGGGCTGCTG